CCCCAAAACCCCAAAACCCCAAAACCCCATGATGAAAAAAGTAAATGAGATAAATAAAAAAATAAAAAATATAAGATAAATAGTGTAAGTGATTTGTAGATAAATTTGAATCTATATGGATTTATATAAAGAAAAATGAATGAATAAGCGGAAAATTTAAGATCATTAACCTTATTCAACCTTTAATAATATATTAGCAATTTCTATCATTTTTTTCTCTTTTATATCAATCTAATATAGATTCTAAAACGTGTCATTAGAATCTATTTTTTCTGTTCATCGCAGTAAAGCTCTTTTTTACCTAGATCACATCGTCTATATGAGATCGATTTAAAAACTTTTATTCTATCATTGATTCATCTTCTGTTTGATTAGGTTTCAAGGGATGTTCTGTAAAATCATTTTCATCAAATGATGTGTGAGAATTGCAGCCAACTCCAACCTATTACGGTGATTACTAAAGCTGAAATTCAGGTCTTCTTAATTCCAAAGGAGCGAATTGGTTATTCATCATATTAGATTAGTCTCCGTTATTAACGTTTATATTGCTGTAATTTTTCTTGATCAAACTGCCAGCTTCGATTTCCAAGCGCTATTATTACTAAACCACACTTATATCACTGTATTTACCATTAAAATTCCTGTTCTAAACGTCTCCATTCTAGATATTTAAGCTTGCTTTTTTTAGCACATATTAGGTTGCACCTCTGAAGTCATAGACATTTCCAGCGTTTTGATTATTATTGTTATTTCTTGCTGAAGACCCGTTGTTACTGTTGGCACTTTAATCTCTACCTTTCTAAATCATTTCATTGTAACTTATCTTGATATTAGACATCATTTTCAATTTCTCTGAATTAGCTCTTTTCCGCTCGTCTGGCGTTCCATTTCCCGAGGTCTAACTGAAAAACGAAAGCATATTCATACTCATATCCGAGCAATCATTGTTGCCATAATAGTTCGGAGCTTTTATGAAGGACTGGAATTCAATTTCCTAGTCTGCAACATCTCCTAATTATGGCCCTTGCTTGATGTTTTGGGTTATTTTATTAAATTGTATTAAATTTTATAATGCCTCCTAATCTTATGAAAACCATTTGTGCTAAAAGCGAATTAAGAATTTTTTATATTACATTAAGACATTCCTCAGCTGTTGGTCTCTGATCTGCTTGTCTTTGCAGCATCCATCTCATCAAGCTTACTGCATCTTCAGACATTGTCAGTAGATCTTCATCAATAATATCCGATGGATCTTTATACTGGTTGTTGATTAATACTTGTTTTTCATGTTTGCCTTCGAATAGCATGCTGCCTGTCATTAAGTTATAAAAGATAGAACCGAGACTGAAGATATCACTCTTCGGTGAGGCAGCAAATCCTCTCAAGATTTCGGGGGCAAGATATCCAGCTGTTCCGCACTTCTTACCGAGAAGTTCGGGTTCATCTAATTTGCATGCTAGGCCAAGATCAGCAAGGCAAACATCTAATTTTTCACGGTCCATTACTAATATATTATCAGGTTTCAAGTCACGATGGACGATTTCTCTTTTATGCATTAGATCTATAGCAAGTAGTAGCTGTTCCATTATCATTCTCAGATCTGCCTCTGAAAAAGAATCTATCGATGCTAAGTGGTTGAACAATGATCCGTGTTTTGCGTAGTTCATCACCAGATGCACAAGATTGTTTTCGATAAAAACTTATTCCAGCTGTACAATGTTACGACAGATTTCTAACTCCCTCAGGCATTTTATCTCTCTGTAGACCTGCTTAAACATTTCAAAGTGGTGAATTTTATAAGTCTTAACAGCCAATAATTTTTCATTTCCCTCGGTTCCTCTTTACTTATAAAGACCCACAATGGCCTAACCTCCTCTACCGAGAGTTTTTTAATGTTCATAAAGCATCTTTAGAGTAGGTGATGTATATATACAGACCTTCTGGAGAAATAGTTAGAATTTCTTTAATTAGTCATCATTTTGGAATTTTATGATAAAATCAGTTTCTTTATTTTCACTTTCTAACTGAATCTCTAGTTACTCAGTGGAAAATAAACTTTTGTGATTTAATTTCATTCTATACAGCCAAATATCAAGCCACATCATAACAGGAGGCTTAAACCCTTGTTTCTCATTAAAAACCAAAAAACTTTTGCATAAACTTGCGGTTCCTCTTCCGATTGTTTTCCGCATCCACTGATTCTCTGTAGCTTTTTGAATGATTACAGAAAACGATTCCAGGGTAGTGTAATCAATATCAAGTTTAAATAGTTCCTCAGGTTACTGTGTTGAGAAAATGCTTTATAAATTATTAGATTTCATTTGTGAATAAAATTATCTAAAGCCTAAATATCATCTATTATTATATTATCATATATTATTGATAAATAGATACCTCTCTCATGGGGTTTTGGGGTTTTGGGGTTTTGGGG